CACAAATGTTGAAAGCCTTTTTACATTGAGGTGAATTTCTCTCAACTGGAAAATAGCTGAATTTGCTTCAATCACCAATTCTCTCCATTCTCTGAAACAATCTTTTTTTCTTATTTAACTGGGCAAGCAGTGATAAATTACTTTAGGCTCCTGTTAGCAGTGTTAAAAGCACTGACATCACTTATAAGAATGCTTTATTTTTAGACAGGTTAGACAATACTATTCAGATATGTCCCAAAGTTGCTTTTTTCATGAAGCAAGTGGACTTTCTTTTTTTTCTTTGAAGATGTTTCACTTCTCATCCAAGAAGCTTCTTCAGCTCTGACTGGATGGTGGGGAATGGAAGGATTTATACTCCTTGCAGACAGTCCTTCCACTATCCAGTCAGAGCTGAAGAAGCTTCTTGGATGAGAAGCAAAATGTCTTCAAAGAAAATCAAGAAAGTCCACTTGCCTCATGAAAAAAGCATCTATGGGACAACTATGACCTGGATGACTGAGAATCTCCATAATTATTCTGATCTGATTATGATAAATTTACTATAGTATTAAATACCAATTAGGCAATTTATATACAATTTATTATCTTACATTTTTCCAGAGATAAAAAGGTTTTATATGTATTTCTATTTATTCTTAAGTCTGAAAACAGCATTATACAATTATCCCCTATTCATTCATTGATTCATAACTTCAACAAACAATTTAAGTTCCAGAAAAAATAGTTTTTAAAAGCAGTTCTTAGTCTGAATGCTGAAATGATAAAGGAGGATTAGCTCAATAATGAAAATGAGCAGAGAACTGGATCCAAAGAGCTTTGTATATGAACAAAAAGTATAATTTGGCTATATATAGAGAAATTTAGACTGTTTTCCTTGGAAATGTTATGGTATTGTACCACATTTTGTGCTGGAAACTGTTAGAGTGGCTGAGATCTCACTATACTCAATCCATGAACAGAAGCTACTATGCCCAGTATAATATAGACTATGGAAGTAATGAACTGGTAAGAAATTGCACAATATATAAATCACAACAAGAATAATTTTGAATAATGATCCTTTTATTTAAAAAAAAACACTTGCTGACTTTACAGATTTAAAAGCCAGTAATTTAAAATAATTGTAAAATATTGTTAATGGCCGGGAGTACTTTTTAAATCTTATTACCAAGAAAAATATTTTTGCTTCCTGACAAAAATGCCAACATTTCTTTTGCCTACTCTATATATTTTTCATCCTTAACATTCCAGTAATAAAGTTTTATTACATTAAAGAGCATTGCGTTGAATCTCAAGCAGCACTTTTATAAGTGGAATAAATTTCTCTATTAAAGATAAGTTCCTTCTAATAGAAAACTGTCTTTTAATGAAATCTGTTCTGATCCACTCCTGTATATGAAAATGATCATCAAGTTTTCCTAAATTCAAAGAGTAGGAAGGAAGCAAATATTGAAATATTTTGTTAGATTGGTTTGCGATGTCCTACAATGAGACATATCTAAGTTATCTCTGGGTATTTTATTTATTTATTTTTTTAAAAAACAAAGTCAACAAAAGAATATGTTAACTCTGCTCTCAGGAAAGGATAAAAATCTAAATATGTAGTATACATATACAGGCATCTATCATACATTTATAGAAAAAAAATCTATAAGAGGGATTTTTCTCTACAACATGGAAATTTGTAAATAAAAAAATAATGGTTATGATGAAGGTGAAGTATGGAAAATATGGAAAATTAATGTGGTGATCCTACTAAATATTTGAGAATTACACCTGTGTATGATTTCTTAATTTTCTGTATTATCCATTCTTTTGTCAACTGAAAAAAAAAATCCATTTTTTTTCCAGATTCTCTAACAGTATAGTCTATTTGAATTAACTTCTATAGGATTCAGTGCACATATTCTTCAAATTACATTTCTATGCTCTTGTACATACCTATAATAATCTATAACACGCAACAGATGATCATAACATATAACTGTATTTATTTCTAACACAAGGATTTGTTTCTATTTCAAGTGAATAAAAATAATGTAGACTATTTTTGCATAGCTTTATGCACCTTTCCCTCATCGCCAATAACCTCAGTAAATTACCTTTTCCTTATTTCTAAGTAACTATAGCCAACTGACACATATTTCTGATATGGTAAGCTTATAGATGTGAGATGTAGGCTTGGGGCTGAAGAATTAAAATAAAAACTTGGGAAAGAAGGAAATATATCCCTCTGATTTTATTTTATGAAAGTATGAACACTGTATCTCCATATACAATAAAATAGTTTAAATAAATTTAATTAATGTTAATAAATTTCTGATTTTAATGGCTGCCAATTATATTTTATATATACCATCTATAATTTTGAATAGCATGTACATAATCTTATACTTATGATGAAACCAGCCTTTTCTGTATCTATTTTTATATTATAGTGACTTGTGAAAGATGCACTAATCCTAATGCTTATCACATTTTCAAATTTCTCCTTTCTTACATTTTCTAATATTAAAGACTTTAAAAGCATTCTGAGTGGAGGCAAAATTACCTGCATATTTTATTTTTGCACCAAGTACAAAACCTGTAGACAGTGCAGCTTCTTTGAGAAGGAAAGTTAAAACTTTATTCTTTTTATGCATAATACATAATAATTTGCTCATTTGGGCATTCTGTTGTATTATGATTTAATATAATAGACTTCACTAATTTAGTACCATCAAAATTTTTGAACTACACTTCTTATGAGCCTCAACTTGGCAGTTAGAAAGGCTGCTGAACGGAGCATGGGACGTACCACCTTGTTCTTTTAAAAATAAAATACTGTAGTTCAGACTAGTAATTGCACGTTTTCCTAGGATATTAGTTTGTTTATGGTCTCCCAGTTTTGTGTGAAAGAAGGAAATTCATGCTAAGACACTATGACAATTTTCAGAAAGACAATGTAGTCTTAATTCAGTTCCTTCTTTTCTATTCTTGTCTCCAGTGACAACCTAATGTCTCACTCTGCATAGAAATAATAGATAAATTACCTTTTAGAGAAAATTACAAGTGGGAACCCCAGGAAAAATCAGAACCCATTAAATCCATGTGGTATATTTTGGGAAAAAATAAACAATATAAATAAAAAAAGAATATAAACAAAAAAATAACAACTCTGTTAGTCTGTAAGAAATACAACAGCTATGCCATCAACTCCATGCCACAATTGTAATGTGTGAGAAATTTGTAATGCTAGTGCTGCAGTCCTACATACAACTAGGATTAAATGCTATTGAACCCAATAGGATTAATTCTTAAATCTTGAGTGAGATTGTAACATAAGAATGTTACCAAGCCATACTCACTTTCCAGTACTGATGTGTAGAATTAGTACGGATACTCACTTTAAAACTTTCCCTCTTCCCTGTCACCAAAACTAGCTGGAAGATAAAAACAGATGATGTTGATGTTGAAAGCAACACTCACATCTATTTCTCTGATCTGTTTTAGAAGTACACTTTCCCCTCTATGTTTCTCAAATGCTTCTAGCTAGGTTAGAGTGTTTTCAGTTTGCTTCAGTCTAGTTACAGTACAGTAGTTCAATGGCTACTCTGCAGATGATCACCCATCAGTCAGTTGCAAAAGGTAGTTTTAAGTACATCCCATGACGATACCTTCAAAACCATTGAACAACATTTGCCTATCGCAAGTCCTTGGGAACGGATCGATAGGTGGATAAAAATATCAAATACAGTCTAAACCAGGGATCTCCAAACTTTGCAACTTTAAGACTTGTGGACTTCAACTCCCAGAATTCCCTAGCTAGCATGGATCTAAACATCTGACTGTGCTAACAATTATACTAATAATAGTTTCTGAGCTTGTTCTCTCTTCCTTTTTTCCCTAATAAATACAGTTCCACCACAGCAACAATTTCTAGTTATCTGAAAGAAAGCCTTCAATCTCAGCTTCTCAAAATCCCAAGGACCTTATAGGCTTGTCTGGAAGCTGAGTGAAACTGTTTTATCTCAGGTAATTAGAAAATCAGTGAAACAATGGAATTGCACTTATTAGATAAAGCAAAGGAAGAACGACAAGTAATAATAATAATTTAAAAAATCATTTTCTTGATGGATTTTTAATTAACAAAATTTGCTGGCATGATATAAAAAAGAGTTTTACTGACTATTCTATTCTACAAGTATAATAGAAGCAAAACAGCCTTTTGAAGAGATAAAGAGGTAAGGAAGATTTGTTTAAAAAAAAACAACAACAACTTTGTCATGGTTTCATCTAAGTGGATTTTGATAATTTTGCATACATAAATTTAATTTAACCTTGTGTTTGTGTATGTGAGTGTTATCTATACCTGTGTCAATCATTTATATATGTGTGTATGTATAAGTTTATATGTGTGCCTGCAGACATAAAAATACTGATCTCCAGGAGGATCTACCCATAGAAATAAAAGGGGTTAGTAATCAAAATTGGAAAATACAAGTAGGTGGATATAGAAACAATGGGATGAAATGATAGCCTGAAGTATGAGGTGAACACTTATAAACTGATGCCAATTTGAATAGGATTTTCTTAAACTGGCTTAGGATCAGATCTGATAGGCACACAGAACAAGTATGTTGTGCATATATGCTCTTAATGAATGCGAAGGTGGCAACAGATGAATAGCAATCACATGTTAAGGTGTTGTCATTATATAGTATGCATGTTGTGGGATGAACCAAATGAAAACATGATTTATTTACTGATCTGATTATAATTTATACAAAAATGGTTTGGAACAAGAGTTCCATTTTTTCCCCCAATAGATTTTAGCAAACCATGCTTCAAATATTATTTTTCTATGTTTGAGGAGAATTAATATAGTTAGCAAGTTAGAGATTACAGTTGTGGGATGTATTAGATATTTCTGCTGAGAAAAATCGATTAGTATATATTTGAAAGAAAATGCAAAATAGTGCAAATAAACTAATTATATGAAAGGTATTAATATTTTTCAGGTCCTCAATCATCTGCATAAGAAGCTGAGGAACATTTCAAAGAAGTCAGAAGCATCCAAGAAGAAGGTAAACAGCTTTTCTTATAAAACAATCTATAGTAGAGCAGCATATTTATTAAGCCAATTAGTATGTTACAAAGTAATTTGCATGTTTGAGTTCCCTTTGTCATACTATGATAAAACAAAGAAAAGAAGGTGGAAAAATGATAGCAATCAAAATTAGAGCAGAAGAGTGGGGTAATAGGTAACAGATATTAAGCTTTATTGCTTTCTGGGGAAAATTCCTGAAAAATAAATATACTGTCTTGAAATGCCATTTTTTCTGCCTCCATATATTAACCAACCCTAAATAGTCCATCAAATTAAAAACAACTTGTTAATTTACCTTGTAATTTCAATATTTTTCTCAGAAGTCCTGTCCAGTTGTGGGGAGATCACTCCATTTCAATACAGATAGTCCTTGACTTACAACATTTCATTTAGTGACTGTTTGAAGTTACAATGGTGTTGAAAAAAGTGACTTATGGCTGTTTTTCACACTTACAACCATGACAACATCCTGATGGTCATGTGATCAGAATTCAAATCCTTGGCAATTAGTTTGTATTTATGACAGTTGCAGTGTCCCGGGGTTATGTGATCACCTTTTGTGACCTTCCAATAAGCAAAGTCAATAGGGAAGCCAGGTTCACTTTAACAACTGTGGTACTAACTTAATAACTGCAGTGATTCATTTAACAACTGTTGCAACTGATCATAAAATGGGGCAAATTTTACTTAACAAACATCTCACTTAGCAACAGAGCTTTTGGGCTCAATTTTGGTTGTTAAGTCAAGGACTACTTGTATGTCATCAACACTAACTTTCATAAGAAAAGTCTAATAATCTCTCCATACCTTGTTTTTAAGAGATAGCTTTCACCTCATTTGGGGAATAGAGTCTAAACAGTTTAGTTTTAACCCCATGTAAATTAATGTCTACCCCAGGGGTAGGCAAACTTGGCTCTTTTATGACTCGTGGACTTCAACTCCCAGAATTCCTGAGTGAGTTGCCTACCCCTGGTCTACCCCAACAAATCTGCTGTGTTCATTAGTCAATACAAGTTGTAGTTTAGTTTTAGTTGAAGGTTAATATAAAAAAAACAATTCATTTTCTCTTTTTCATTCAAGGATTCTTCATTCAAGGATTTTATAAATGAAATATTTCAGATCATTCTTATTATATAAATGTCTTGTAAACAAATAATGTCTTTTTTAATTTTAAAAATTTCCAGTAGATGTTTCCAAGATAAACCAGAAATATAAAAGATATATGATTTTCAGACCTCTGTCCTCAGCAGATACACCTGTGACTTTATTTAGCAGATCAGTGCCAATGATCAAACATGCAATCAAATAACATTTCCAAGAATTATATTTATTTTCTGTCTTACTTAAAAGCAGAAGTTATGTCCTTGCTTATGAGCCCTATACAGCAGTCTAAAAACAACATGATATAATAAAGGCACAACACTTTAAAAAAACCCTCCCCATAAGAAAAAAGATCTTAAATTCTTCTTAAAACATTTTTTTTATTTGTTTTTCCTCCTTTATGTCATAATGTTTTTTATTTGTTGAATACGTGCAGACAAAAAAACATATAAGGAACGGTTGCTGGAATTGGGAATGTCTAGTCTAATGAAGAAAAGGATGAGGGGTGACATGATAACAGTGTTCCAATATCTCAGAGGCTGCCACAAAGAAGAGGGAGTCAAGCTATTCTCCAAAGCACCGGAAGGCAGGACAAGAAGCAATGGATGGAAACTAATCAAGGAGAGAGAACAACCAAAAATAAGAAGAAATTTCTTGACAGTTGAACAATTAATCAGTGGAATAGCTTGCCATCAGAAGTTGTGGTTGCTACACCACTGGGAGTTTTTAAGAAAAGACTGGATAGCTGTTTGTTTGAAATGGTATAGGCAGTGGTGGGGTTCAAATATGTGAACAACTGGTTCTCTGTGTGGATGCCGCTTCCGGAAGTCCATTCTGGGCCTGGGCAACAAAAAACTAGCTACCGGTTCTGCCAAACTGGTGCGAACTGGCTGAATGCCACCACTGGGTATAGGGTTTCCTGCCTGAGCAGGGGGTTGGACTAGATGACCTTCCAACATTAACAACAACAACAATAATAGAGTTGGAAGGGACCTTGGAGGTCTTCTAGTCCAACCCCCTGCTCAGGCAGGAAACCCTATAGCATTTTAGACAAATGGCTGTCCAGTCTCCTCCTCCTCCTCCTCCTCCTCCTCCTCCTCCTCCTCCTCCTCCTCCTCCTCCTCCTCCTCCTCCTCATCTTCTTCTTCTTCTTCTTCTTCTTCTTCTTCTTCTTCTTCTTCTTCTTCTTCTTCTTCTTCTTCTTCTTCTTCTTCTTCTTCTTCTTCTTTTCTGTTGCTCTTGTTGTTAATAATAATAATAATAAAAACACTAAAAAGGATTTGAAGAAGTTCATCAGCACTGATCATTATGAAAGTAGCTTTGAGATAAATTCTATTTCTGCCACATTATCCAGCTTGCTTTTAGGAAAATATTCAAGATAAACATCCAGGTCGCAGGATCCTTGTTGGCCCTGGGTTCTGGCTATTGCTGTGAACAGCAGATTGATGTATAATAAAGTTGCCCTTATGTACAATTTGATAGTGGATGAAACGGCCAACCTGGCTTGTTTCAATGAAACTTGGATGGACCTCTTGGCCTTGTGCCACCTGGGTTTTGGGTTTGGCACTAGCCATGACTTCAGAAGATGGGAAGTGGTGGTAGTTCTCTGCAATTCGTTACTGGCTTTCAGAAGCTCTGCCTTACAGATAACTGAGTATGAAACTCTGGCTGAGAGTTATGGTCTAGGGCAGGGGTTTCCAAACTTGGCCGCTTTAAGACTTGTGGACTTCAATTCCCAGCATGGCTGGCTGAGGAATTCTGGGAATTGAAGTCCACAAGTCTTAAAGCAGCCAAGTTTGAAGACCCCTGTTCTAGGGCATAGAGGGACTGTTACTGTTGTATCATTTTTGGGGGTGATATGTGCCTTCCTCAATCTTGGGTCCTGTATCAGAAACCTGGGGCTGGAGAGTTCTGCACAATATCTTAGCTGTTCTGAGCACTGCACTCTTTTGGACAGATAGCTCTGGTGCTGTTCCTGGGATCTGTTGAAGTCTCTCTCTCAGTTTAGGAGTCCCAGTCCTGAGTGCTCCTACCACCACTGGGAATACCTTGGTCTTTACTTTCCACAACCTCTCCAATTCCTTTTTCAGGCCCTGGTACTTCTCCAGCTTCTCATACGCCTTTTTCCTGATGTTGCTGTCACTTGGCACCTCTACATTTACCATCACCTCTGTCTTCTAGATTACTAGATTTCTATATAGAAACCTATATATAGGTTTCTAATTGTAAGCATTTCAGAATCATTTGGGAGATGGGCAGTATATAAATTGAAACAAACAAACAAACAGACTGAGTGGATAGGGGCATTAATGTACTATTCAGAGATAAGTCATGCTTAATTATTTTTAGGGCTTACTCACAGACATATTGTGTACAATATAAGTCTCCTTGCTGAAGATTAACCCATGATAACACCAATGGTAAATTAAAACTAGAATAATACAAATGGCTGAAATCTTGGATGATATCTAAAATGTTGGAGTCCTTATAAGATTGGAAGGGGGAGTTTGATACAAATAGGTTTTACAGCCTGGGTTTGATGTATAAACATAAATGGTTTTAAAATGTATTTGTTGTTTGGGAGAATCACTCTTCACAGGTTTTGCTTTTTATAAAATTTTATAAAATTACAATAAGTAAACAATAACAATAGTGTAGAATCTCCCCGGTTGCAAACCATATTAATAACAGTATAATGGCTTCTGCTGTAACATAATATGGTGTTGCAAGAGATTTTCATCTTATTATATACAATTACTATTTTCAAAGGGCTCCTTTCTCATTATTTTAAACTGTCATCAGTTATAACATATACACCTCAGAGTTTTTAAAAAGGACAAAGGAAAGATACCTATAAATTAGATGTAAAGAAATATCTTTTGTTTCAGCTAGGTTTATAGACAGAAAGAATTATGGTTCACTATTATCAACAGATGATACAACACAGGTCGATTGATTTTTTTTAATAAAAAAACCCTCCTTAATTAAAATAGTGACAATCAGAGCTTTTTAGACGACGATAAATTATATTTTTTATATTTATATTTTTTATAATGATATCAACTGCGAATTCAGATAACCTATGGAAAAATTGGTTAACTGGTTATCCGCATATGCATCTGACATAAGATTTTCTGGACCAGTGATTATCATATCTCGGTCTGAAATCTCTTCATGGTTAAGATCCAGGAGTCTAAAGGGGGCCTTGAGTTTTAAATGTTTTGACAAGGTTAATATAGAAATTTCAGCACACCAATGGATAATTTACAAAGCACTCGTAAGGCTATAACTCTGAATTGAATGGCTCTTACTTCAACTTAAGTGTTTTTAGGATTTTTATCATAAAGTAATACCTTGCTCTTATTAAACCTCTCAAGTCACTGGAGGATTTGCTTAGACATATCCTTTCTATTTTCATTGCTTTTATGATGCATTAGTGATTATTTGTATAATTTAATCGTGTGACAGCCTTTTCACATTATTTATTGTTTCTCCCTCCCTCTCTCTCTCTCTCTCTCTCTTAGACTGCTCAAACTGTCCTTGTGGTTGTGGTGGTTTTTGGGATATCTTGGCTGCCACATCATGTCATCCACCTCTGGGCTGAATTTGGAGATTTCCCCCTAACTCAAGCTTCATTTTTCTTCAGAATAACAGCACATTGCCTGGCTTACAGTAATTCTTCAGTGAATCCTATTATATATGCATTCCTTTCTGAGAATTTTAGAAAGGCCTATAAGCAAGTGTTTGAATGTCAGATTGGTCACAATTCACCTCTGAATGAAGTTAAAGATAATAAGAGTAATATTGACACGCCTCCAACTACTAATTCTACACACGTTTGAAGAATGAATGTGGTTGGCTGTTCTGCTGCTGTTTCATAGGAATGGACTTGCTCTAGCTGCTTTGATTTAAAAAAATGCAATTCCCCAACTGAGCAAATATTTCAATTTTGTATGGGTCATTAGTACCCAACTAATTGAAGTTCAGTTTATTTTGCTGCTGAAAGGAGTAAGAAAATCTGATTCATAGACAAAATACTTTAATGCCCTTCTTACTGAAAGAAGTTTGAATAAGAATTATTTTTAAAAATTAAACAATTAATTGAATAAGATTAATATATAATTCCTCTTGCTCTAATGCATTTGTGTTATGCTTAAAATATTGGGGTTTTTTTCTTATACAAGTTTATTAATGTAAATCGCTTAAGCCATTTGTAAGTTGTAAGTTGAGAACTTTCTGTAGAGTAACTTGCATAAAATTAGTTTGTATAGATGCATTTTTAGATTTTTGACGAAAGTAATTCAAAACTAATAGTATTAATTTATATTCTGCTTCCATCAATAATTTTATGCATAGCAGATAATTTGCTTATTTATTTAAACAATTCTGTAACTTGGATCCATGCTAACTATTTATCTGCCTGGTTTATGATTAGAGTTGATTTCAAACTATTTTTTTTCTGGTACTTGATATTTACATAAACTGTACAACGCCAGAAATACAAATTATGAGTGGTGAATTTGGTTATTTACTATAATTGCAAAGAAAGTGATCAAGCAATTATGCTTCATATGCATTTTTAGAGGAGGACTAGAATAAGTAACGAGCTGCTATATAGCTGCTTTCATTCAAACCTATCAGTTACTACTACTTCTAAGTGTGTTTGACAAAGGCACAGGATACATTCCTGTACATTCTGTGATGAACTGAATGAAAAGGACAATTATATTGGAGAATTCATCCTATCAAGCATTAAAAAAATATATGTTTGACTTTTAAGAAGGCTAGACTTCAAATCTGTTCTATAGATCTGACATGTTGAATGAGGGAGTAAGTACACAGTACATTGTGGCATATTACAAAATGCTATTTTTCCATTTTGATGAGTTCCTTGGCTCTGATCATTCCGAAACAAAAAGTCAAAATGCTCCAAAGTTTGTAGAATAATAATAATTATGGGTCAGATGCCTGAACCCCAGCTGTAACAAGGATAAGATCATAACAGGCAGCGTTAGAAAGAAAAGATGCAGAACTAAAAATACAGGTAATCCTCACTTAATGAATGCCTCATTCAGTGACTGTTTGAAGTTATAACAACACTTAAAAATAACTTTAAAACCAATGCCTGCATTTATGACTTTTGCAGCATCCTGCAGTAGCAGTCTTCCATTGTGGAATGGAAAGACTGAAGAGGAAGAGATTACAAGAGAGTAAGCAGCCACCCAGTGGGGAATACACATTGAAAGGAATGCTGTGGTGCTTGCAGCCCCAAGCATGTTTGGAGCTGGGAGCAGTGAACTGGCTATGCAGACATAGAGTGACTAGACCAAGGTTACCCAGCCAACTTTCATGTCTAAAATGGGACTAGAACTTAAGATCTCCCAGTTTCTAGCCTGGTGCCTTAACCACTAGACCAAACTGATTGTATATCAGATGGATATGTTTTGCAGACATATTTAGGTATTTATCTCACTGATATATCCATGTTATCTGGAAGGAAGCTTGTTAGGAAAAGCTGTTAAGCACGATGACTAGCTGTGCTAGAATGTAGGGTGAGGTAAAACATCTTTGGTATGCTAGACACTTTTTTTTTAAAGAAAAAAGTGACGTAGCAGATATTTTCTTCAATATATCCCATTCTCTTGTTTCTCTTCAGATTGATCATGTCCCATTTTGCTCAAGGATTCTGTGAAAGTGTTAGGTACTCAAGATTACTTCAGTATTATACCCAATAAACCATTAATATCCAATAAATGGGAGCAGAAGAAGACACTTTAATCTTTTGAAATCTGTGTCCTGTACTGTTTTTCTCTAATGCTTGATATTGCATCAGCTTAACATTCCATTTATGCTTGAATTTGATCATGAGAATGTCTCAACAAACACCTTCGGAGCAGGTTGTTGATGCTGTCTTATGGAAGCATTAAGAAAATGGCCTTTTTTTAGAGGGAGATCATAGTCACGTGCATAAAAGTTTTGCTAAAATAAATATATAAATAGACATGCCAATTATAAAGATATTAAGTAAGAGGAGCTCTATATCCCCCAAAGTAAAATTCTTTTCCATCGTGAATGATTCAGTGATTCAAATAATTCAGGCAGAAGAAAATGCATGTTTATGAACATTACTCTCTTTTGGATACTTACAAAACAATATTTTTCATGGCTGTGCATCTCATAACCTGAAGAAAGAAGCATCGCTAACATGTAACAAGTAAATGAGAAGAAATGAATGCTGCCAAGACTGAATTTAATTCAGAGCTGTGCAGAAAAGATCACAAAGCAATGACTTTAAACAGATTGCATTACTTGTTTAATTTCTGGTGTCTGTTTTTCCATTTAAAAAATGCATATGTATTTCTGTACCTGACTGTATAACACAAAACATAAACACTGCTTGATACTGCATGTGTGCCTTAATATTGCATTTAATTTTAATGCCTCAGGCATTTTTAGTCACTGGGTAGCCATGTACAAAGCTTTGTAAAGGCGCATCTTTCTGCATCATCTTACTGGTCTAAAATTTCTTGGCTCATGTATATATTTCTACAAAAGCAGAAGTTCTGCTCTACCATTGATATAGAATATCTTTGTCAGGGTTGAGACTTCCTTTACATATAGATGCAAGTATACATGTAACACAACAGTACAGATAGTTCTTGACTTACGACAACAATTGAGCCCAAAATTTGGCTCAACTGTTGCTAAGTGAGACATTTTTAAGTGAGCTTTGCCCCATTTTATGATGTTTCTTATCACAATTGTTAAGAGAATCACTGCAGTTGTTAAGTTAGTAACATGGTTGTTAAATGAATGTGGCTTCCATATTGACTTTGCTTGTTAGAAGGTTTCAAAAAGTATTCATATGACCCTGGGACATTGAAATTATCATAAGTCAGTTGTCAAGCTTCTGAATTTTGATCATGTGACCATGGGGATGCTGCAATGGTCATAAGTGTGAAAAAAGTCACTTTTTCAGTGCTGTTGTAACTTTGAACGGTCACTAAATGACCTGTTGTAAATTGAGGACTATCTCTACAGAAGTGCTTTAATACTATATACAGACTAATGTGCACCATGTACCACGGTACCCTTCTAGATTCTTTATTTTTTTCTATTTTATTTTTTTACTTCCCAGTGTATCCCACAAGTCTGGTGCTCTCTGGTAATGTGCTACTTACATGGCCCAACATTATTAGTGTCTAGGTTTAGATAAGATAAGCCTGATGATGCAATTCAAATTGAGACTCAAACAACATTCAACGTTTACATATAACAATAATAATTTCATTTGCACCAATGAAATTAGTGCTTCTACATCACACAAACATCTAGCTTTATAACTATGATGCGTGACAGTTGCCCACCCTGTACATATCTATTTCTGCAAAAGAATGATAAGTAAATGTGATGAACATTGTTTTAAGCTGAAATTCCTAATTGTTCTAACTTTTTAAAGTATGATAATAGTGCCAACTATTATTGCTATGCTGTTTGTAGAAGTTTCTGCTTCCAAGAGTAAGAGAAATAAACAGTAGCCATCAAATTGTATTGTAGTGACTTCATTGATCAAAGGGTAAATAAAATTATTGCAATAGCTAAAACCTATTCAAAAGCATCTGTCTCTGTCTGTCTATCTATCTATCTATCTATCTATCTATCTATCTATCTATCTATCTATCTATCTATCTATCTATCTGATGTGCATCATGACATAAATTGGTGTTTGACAGATATTTACCTCAGCTTGTTATTTGATATTTATCTTGGTATTTCACAGATATATGTGCCTTTTGAAAGCCACATCTGTCTCCCTCCTGCCATTTTTGCCTTATATAATACACAAATGCATGAATCCAACTTTTTTCCAGTGTCATTTCATTGTGTGTTAAACTAATCCCCCTGTTTCAGAATATGTCTTATCATATTTAACATTTATTCATCATTCTTTGAATCTCCTCTTACCTGCTTTCAATTTTGTTTTTATCCAGCTCTATTCTTCCACAGGTGGTATTTTTTGTTTCCATTTCATAATAATGTCAGCAAACAAATACATGCAGAGAGAGGGAGAGAGAGCTGTAAGGAAGGTGAGAAGAATAAATGCCTTATTCTTCAACTGACAAATGTGTTAGTAAAAGAAAAAAACAGCTCTTTTGTTGATCTGAATGAAAATCAGATCTTAGATTGGCAATTTGAATTCACAACCTGCTTCCCTTTAACACTGAGTAGAGATTTACTTAGCTTTGTTTCCCAATTAAGATGCCATCCTTACTTAGAAATACCATCAGAAGTTTAATTTTTTACTGCCAATAATCAATTTTATGTATGGATATGTTAATTGTATACTGATTAATATATGTCAATAGTTCACAAATACTAGAAGAGCTGAATAGAATATTTTTATAAAATGATAAATATATTAAATCATGTTTGTAGGCCTAAGTATGTGATAAGATGCAGCACAGAGATGTTGCACATTACATTTGAAGAAGTAGTAGTAAATATTTACTGGATATGATTGAGACTCACTTCAAAGATGAGAATATTTTAGCTTCAATAAAGAATGGAGATGATGGGTATACTACCCAACTAAAATTTGACTGATGATTATAAATTCTAATTATGCAAAACCAAGAAAAGAGAGATGCTAGTTAGGAGGGGAATATTTTCTTAATTTACTCTCAGAATTTATTGGAATTATTGATGTAACCAGGCAAATCTGGAATGTGGTTCAATTTGAATAACACAGGAGGTCTCTCTCTCTCTGTCTCTCTCTGTCTCTCTCTGTCTCTGTCTCTCTCTCTCTCTGTGTATGTGTGTAAAAGAGAGAGAGAAAAGAAAGACGAAAGGAAAGGGAAGGATAGAAAGAAAAAGAGAAAGAAAGAAAGAAAGAAAGAGAAAGAAAGAAAAAGAAAGAAAAAAGGGAAGAAAGAAAGAAAGAAAGAAAAAAGAGAAAGTTTATATGTGCACAATATGAAGAGGATCCTTTTATTACAAATTTTATTAAAAGATAGTAATACTGGGAAAATATTCTGTATGTCCATTTACAATACTTCATAATTAATTCTATACCACTGTGTCCCCAAGGTATACTATACATTTGGCAAATGAGTTGATATATTTCCTGGTCAGCTTCAGTATAGTCTACATTAGAGTGATCTTTCCATTTGCAATGTTGAACAGCCTGGGTCTCATTATAGCTTTGGTCAATTTGGGCTTTTACATAATACTATTAATCAACTTACAGAAAGTGTAAACCTGTGCCATATTCATTATTTCTTGTTAATGAAAAAGACAATACAAGTCAGCATGAATGTATTTTTTAATAATATAACAATAAGCATAACTAAAGCCCAGTTTTACCCCGAGTGTCTATGGAGATTCTCAGCCATCCAGGTCATGTTTGTCCTAAAGGTGTTTTTCAAAAAGCAGCTGGACTTTCTTTTGTTTTCTCCTTGAAGATGTTTCATTTCTCATCCAAGAAGCTTCAAGATAGGAAGTGATGGATGAGAAGTGAAACATCTTCAAGGAAAAAAAAAAAAAGCCTAGTTGCCTTTTGAAAAGCACCTTTGGGACAAAGTATGCAAGCTAGGATTTTGAATCTAGAGATTATTTTGTTGTAGTCCTTTTCCCACATGGTAAGAGATAATGTTGAATATTGACTTGCTTAAAATGTACAAATGTTTCTGCCATTCTATAATCCCATTTGTATGGATTTCAGTAGTTTTTACATCTTCCTTTATTCTTTCCAATTGCCTCTATTAAATCTCTTCTGTAATTATTCTTCACTATTTCTATTTCAGTTATAAAATTTCTAATTAAATTCATTCTTCTGTTCTTGTTATTTTCAATTATTTGTTGACATTCTTGATTGAGATAGCTGTCCTTGTCTTTCCTTGCATAACAGTGCAAGTTTGCATTTGATAGTCACAAGGCCTTGTTTCCCGAGGCCTTTATTTTCTATCTTTCTTTTGCTACAGCTTATTCTTTTCATTTGAAGTGTGGGATATTTTTTTCTGCTTCTATTTTCACAATGTCGCTTACCTTTATCCATGGTTCATCAAGGTTTGTTTTTTTTCTTATAAGTCTACTGAATCTATTCCTTACAGTGCCTCCATATTTGGATCGGACATCTTTCAAATCAAGGCTTCCATTACACTTTACTGTTATACATTTTTCTCTGTATATTTCACACCATGAGTTCATCCTCTGTTCAACAATTGAAACAATCACATAGCAATAAACTTTCTGTCACTTCGTTCTCTCTTGTGGTTTTATGCCGTGAATAATCCATGGAAGCACCTGATCTGAGGTGCCTGTTCCATTTCACCTAATTTCACTTAAAATATCCAATTTGGTAAACTATATTTCCATATTGTCAATTTCAAATTTTCCTTGGATCATATGGTATTTCATACTCTATCTGTCCTTTTAAAACAAGTAACTCCGCTTTCATTTTTACTGTCCGTGACCAGTTCCTTACAGTCTCTGGAACTATTTGTGAAAGTGATGTTTCACCCAAATTTTTCTTAACATTTTCAACTATGTTCATACAGCTTTCTAGGTAGCAATACTGTATAGCAGTGGGTTGCCATTGCCTTTTGGATCTGCCTTTCCCCACGACTATTTTATACCATACTGGCAAGAGTGAGCCTACTAAGAACTCCCTCTCTTTCAGGTCATTGTGAGAAGTCTCCCACAAACTCACTGTGATCAGCTTTCTGGCAGAAGGTTATGAGGTTACATGAGCTTGGCAGATATTGTTAAGGATTATATTCGACTGTGACTTTTTTTTTATTTTAATTGGCAATTCTCATTTTTCATGTTCAGTTTATGTTGTTATATTGATATAACTTTCTTCAGAGTCATTTATTTGAGATGGGTGTCCACATAAATTGAATACAATAAAAATAAATTAAATATCTTAGGAAGGGTTTGTGAATAAATGGCTTTGGCTTCAAAACATTGTTGATCCCACAGGGGCAGACTTAAGAGAATTTTTTTTAAAAAGTAGATATTTTGCAAGTAGCCTGAAAATCTAATATGTATACATTATTAATTAGACCACATTTTGTAGCATATCCATTTATCTAAGGATGAATATGGTACCAATTTTTGCTTTTCTCTATCTTAAAATGCATGGCTTGTTTCTTAGGCTCACTATATAAAACAAAAAAAGAATATGCACAACTGATACTGATCAAGCCCTTTGAGACGGTTTTAAAAGATACATTGTGCTTCAGTAGTGAAGTTTAGGTCAAGAAGCAACAGTGAGAACTGGACACGGAACCACTGATTGGTTCAAAATTGGAAAAGGAGTCCGGCAAGGCTGTATACTGTCGCCCTGCCTATTTAACTTATATGCAGAGCACATCATGAGAAAGGCAGGGCTAGATGAATCAAAAGTTGGAATTAAGATGGCCGGGAGAAATATCAACAACCTAAGATATGCAGATGATACCACTCTAATGGCAGAAAGTGAAGAGGAACTAAAGAGCCTCTTGATGCGGGTGAAGAAGGAGAGTGCAAAAGTTGGCTTGAAACTCAACATTAAGAAAACCAAAATCATGGCATCCAGCCCTCTCAATTCCTGGCAAATAGATGGGGAAGAAATGAGGTAGTGACAGATTTTATTTTTCTGGGCTCAAAGATCACCTCAGATGGGGACTGCAGCCAAGAAATTAAAAGACGCTTGCTCCTGGGGAGGAAAGCTATGGCAAATCTAGACAGCATACTAAAAAGCAGAGACATCA